TCCCCAAATTTAAATACCCAATCTCAAAATAGGCAGCATAAATGAAACCAGAATTCTCACATAAAGACAAGCAGGCTGGGGGGACAGCTTGGCAGTCTAAGCATCTGTCTGGTAAGCACAAGGACCTGGGTTTAATCCCTAGTACCACATGCCATGTGGGCCCCAAAACCGCAGGTGTGCCATGCTGTCCGTGGAAGCCAGGCATGGTGGCACATGCCTGTAATCCCAGCTCTGAGGAGGGTGAGACAGGAAGATCACTACAAGTATTATTTATAAATAAATAAATAAAAACAATTTTGAAAAGAAAAACAAACAGCAAATAAATGTATGAAAAAGTGTTCACCATCACTGGTCCTTCAAGAAACACAAGTTTAGGGGCCAGGGAGATGGCTCAGTAGAATAAGCACTTGCCTGGCAAGTGCGAGGGCCTGAGTTCAATCCCTGGATCTGCAAAAAAAAAAAAAAAAGAAAAAGAAAAAAAAAGAAAGAAAGAAAACAAAAGAAAGAAACGCAAGTTGAAACATTGCTGAGATTGCATCTCACCCAAAAAGGAATGGTTATTTTCAAGAAATAAACAAACAGCAAATGCAGGTGGGGCTGTCAGGAGAAAAGAACACTTCCTGCTTGTGCAAGGGTAAACTGGTGCAGCCACTCTGCACATCGGTGTGCAGATTCCAAGAAAACCTTGGACCAGTGATCCAATATGACCTTCTTGTTCCCCTTCTTGATATCTTCCTGAAAGCATTCAGAGCGTCAGGCCACAGCAATACACGCATACCCATGTTTCTGGCAACATAAATTATAATAATTAAATCTTGGGAAAAAATGAAAATGCTCATCAATAGATGGATGGATTTTGAAAAAATATATATATCTTTCAATTCCAGATAAATGGATTTAACTGAAGACCATGTATTTATGTGGAGTAAATGGGAGACATATGTTTCAATAACTGATTCTTTCAGATACGTAAGAAAACAAAACCACAACTAAGCAAGAAAATGGAAGATAGATGTCAGAAGTAAACAGAAATGTTCAAATGAGAAGGAAAACTATAAAGTATGATTGCAAACTATTCCAATGTTAAAAAGAAAACAAAAATATAACTGAAAGTAAAAATATTGTTGGAGCAAGACTCTTGGGCAACTCTAATAAGTGTTAGCATTTTCAAGAGAGGCTGCCTTGATCAGCCTCCTGTCCTCCAGGAGGGGGAGTCCCTGAATGTACCAGGCCTCTCACTTTAGAAGTGGGATACAGGATCTGTCAGCAGATGACCTGCACTGGTGGTTTGTGCCCCAAAAACCTTCCTTCCAGGCAGTCCTCAGAGGTCCCCCTGGGCATCCTCCTCCTCCCTCAATTCTCAGGCTGCCCCACACCTCCCTCAGCACCTCTGCACAGCCTCTCCACAAGGTGGTGTGACCCATGAAAAAACGAACATATCAGGGTCCTTTCATCCCCCTTGCACTGCAGCACAGGGGCCCAGATGACTCCCTGCAGAGGCTGAGCTGTATTAGTGGTCAGAAGGTGACTCATGGTTGCACTGTGCCTGCTTCCTTAGACTCAAGTGACCCAGGTGGAGACAGGGAGAAGGCAGTGCTGGGATTCATGGGAGGCCAATCATGCCAAGTGTCCAGGGACAGGAAAGAGACATCGCATTGCAGAGGTGTGCTGTGTGGTATCTGAGTCTCCTAATCATGGTTCCTGCTGGGATGAAGAAACAGAAAAACAAAATTGTGTCTGGCTTCTTCCCAGCAGAGACCGGCAAGCAGGGTGTCTCGTGGCCCAGCCACACCAGTGATCCTTCAAGAGCCACCAATTAGCTTGAGCCCTGGAGAGTCAAACCTCCTCCTCTGAGGATTCTGCTGCATTTCAACAAAGCGCAGAAGCCAGGGTTCTGCATCTGCCATGGAAGCTCCAAGCAAACAGGGCACAGTCCCAACCTCCCAGTGCCTCCCTTGCTGAGATCCTTCAGACCAAGTGTAGGTACTGACCTGGGAACTTACTGCTCTGTATGACCAATTCCTCTCCGCACAGGTTGTAGTGTCTCATCTTGGGCTAACTCTCACTGTGTTACTGCCATTCTTCATTTCACTACCAGAAAGAGAAATAAATTGTGTCTATTAATGATAAATATATATCTGAATCATTCCCATCTTATATAAATACTCCCAGGAAAAAAAAACCAAGAGCCAGTGGTGTACAGATTATATAAAAGTGTTTAGGATTGGGGATTTTTGTTTCATAAGAGGAGAAATGTTGATTTGAGGATGAAGATTCTAAACCAAGAGTCAAAGCATTTCTGAATTATGCGTTGAGATCAAATGCATGGAATAATTTTCAAAAGGAAGTCATAATACTGTATGGACTGATACTACATTGCAGGAAATTAAGATACATATTTTATTATTATGGATTTAATTTTTGTAAGTACAATCAGAATATATGCTTAATTTATGAGGACATTTGTTGCAATGGAATACAAAGCTAAATGGATGGTTGTTGCATGCTCACGTTCTACTGAACATACCATTCACACCCTCAGCACCTAAATATCCTTAACAAATGTGTGCATATGTTTAACTTCTTGTGACTTGGAAGATGTGTCCTCACTTTGGGGACAGAAAGAATAAAGGAAAGGCCTGGATACCTTAGATCACAACAAACCAAAAAGGGTGGAAAGTCAGTGAAACTTAAAGGTTTTTTAGAAGATGTTTGTGTCTAGTGTCTACCTTGTCATTAATTTCCTCTCTTGCTCCTGAAGGGCAGCATCCCATGAAGTACTCCTAAGCTCAAAACCATCAACCTGCCACACTCTCTGTGCAGTGTCCAGTACACAGGAGGCCCTCAGAGTGTGGCCACTCATCCTCAGATTACCAAACAGCGTAAGCACAGGAAATTGAGCCTTGCTTCCTCTTCCAGGTCCACAGCAGCACCTATGTCCAGAGAATCAGCTCCCCAGCCCATCCTCCTCCCTGGCATTTGTCCACAGAGGTGTCTCATAAAAGTGGCTACATTTGGGTTCAATTCGTTACTCAGGGGCCAGGGAGATGGCTCAGTGGAATAAGCGATTCCCTGGCAAGTGCAAGGGTCTGAGTTCAATCCCTGGTTCCACCAAAAAACCCAAAAAGTTAAAAGAAAAATTCGTTGCTCAGGCTCTCCTCCCTGTGTCAGTGGAACTGTATCAAAACACCTAAGGTTGATTTTTAGAGGTACTAAACTATCCACTTACATATTTCCTGGTATTTTTTTTTTGTTTTTTGCCTCTGACTTGCTATTATCTTCAGTTACATGTGAATTTCTCAAGTCTATTTCTTAGAATGCAATGTCCCTTACATAGAAGCTCTCTAGGCATCCCTTCTGGACATCTACATAGCTATTGATGCTGATTAAGCCAGGGATGGACCAAAACTGATATGGCGCTGATAATGATCACAAAAAAGTAGTTAAGCTGTTTTGCATTTATAAAAGCAAGGACAACTTTCAAATTACAACCTGCTCTGCTGAAGAAAAGTATGGTATAAGATTCAGGATTGAAAAGTGAAATTCCTCGGCTTAACGTATTTCCAGTTCATATGCCGAGCATCTTACCACCCATTTGCTGATGTCGACATTGTTGACAGATACAGTGATACATGCAGTGAATTAGGAATTAGTTCATATTTCTACTCTCTTACTTATATATAAATTGCAAGAAAATTATCCATGCTGTGGTCAACCACTGCTTGCGTTCAATGCAGAAATCACTGATTTTGGATCTCAGATAGAGAGTGTATATTATGAGCGCATATTATAGGAATATGAAGGGTAGAATTAAGAGCTACTGAGGGCTTGGGAGATGGCTCAGGAGAACAAGCACTTGCCTGGCAAGTGCAAGAGCCTGAGTTCAATCCTTGGTTCTGGAAAAAAAAAAAAAGCTACTGAGTCTATTGTTTCCTTGTTTTAATTCTGGTTGTACTTAGCCTGAGAAAAATCCAGAAAAGTAGCCCTATCTAAATAATGCATGAGAAATCATGTCTGCAGGTGTTTTTACAGACATGGGTACATAGGTATGACGACCCCACACTCCAGTCTGTGAGAGCTGGTGGGAACACATGTCCACATGCATAGACAGGCACACTGAACCAGGCTTGTAGCGCTGGGTGCTTGATGAAAGCAAGGGACCGATCTCTATGTACTGTTACAGAGCTTGCTGTGCCAATAATTAATCAATTTTGCGCATCATCCAGATGGTCAGTTGCCAAATTACAAAGGTTGATTTGCTGCCAATCTTAGGACAGTGATACAGATTTTGGATGCATAAGTGTATATATGCAAATTCATATATTTGTACAGAAATAACACATAGACATGTACAAAATATATATGATCATATATAAATATAGCATCTACACTACTTTCTTCCTACTCCATAACTCAAAACTACCCACATTTTATAAATGTCCTAAAATGTCACATTGTAAATATGCATGGAAAGAATTATTTATCAATTAAAAATAACAATATAAAGTTTATCTTTCATAATTTGCATTGAATAAGATGAAATAAGGCTCTCTCTAGACTGTAGCTATGATTTAAATAATGATAATTGCATCATCATTGCTACCAAAACAATTAATATTCCTTACTTTACTGGAACTATTCTCAAAAATGAGAATAGTTATTATATCTATTCAATTATTATATCTCCTATCCAGTGATATTTGCACATATGAAGCTCTGAAAACATCTATGTTCTTGAATAATGTATATTTTTGAATTTTCAGGTTCCTAACTACATCAGTGTTGATGACTGTAGTTAACTAATTGCTGATGGCCTAGCTCCCATCTAAAAATTGGATATCAAATTTAAAGTTTAGTTTGTGAAAAAGAATTTTTGAACATTTAACAAATAATACTTTATTGTAAATCGAATATGCTCTCAAAGGTACTTCTAAACACTAATAAATGTTTAAAAAAATAAGTTCACATCAGTTCTATCTGATTCCCTCCCTGACAGAGAAATGAAAGAAAATGAGACAGAGGTCACAGAATTCATCCTAATGGGCTTTTGTCTTGGCACCAAGATTCATATCGTCCTTTTTGGGGTTTTCTCTCTCTTCTACGCCTTCACCCTGTTGGGGAACGGGCTCATCCTGGGCCTCATCTGCCTGGACCGCAGGCTGCACACCCCCATGTACTTCTTCCTCTCCCACCTGGCCATCGTGGATATCGCGTACGCCTGCAACACGGTGCCCCAGATGCTGGTGAACCTGCTGAGCCCAGCCAAGCCCATCTCTTTTGCTGGCTGCATGACACAGACCTTTTTCTTTTTGGCTTTCGCACACACTGAATGTCTGCTCCTGGTAGTGATGTCCTATGACCGCTATGCAGCCATCTGCCACCCTCTGCGCTACTCTGCCATCATGGGCTGGAGGCTCTGCAACACTTTGGTGACCACTTCCTGGGCATGTGGCTCGCTTCTGGGGCTGCTTCACACAAGCCTCATCCTTAGGCTGCCCTTCTGTGGGCCTAATCAAATCAACCACTTCTTCTGTGAAATCCTCTCTGTTCTCAAACTGGCCTGCGCTGACACCTGGATCAACCAAGTCGTCATCTTTGCAGCCTGTGTGTTCATCCTAGTGGGACCCCTGTGCCTGGTGCTGGTCTCCTACTCGCGCATCCTGATGGCCATCCTGAGGATCCAGTCAGGGGAAGGCCGCAGGAAGGCCTTCTCCACCTGCTCCTCACACCTCTGCGTGGTGGGGCTCTTCTTTGGCAGCGCCATTGTCATGTACATGGCCCCCAAGTCCCGCCACCCTGAGGAGCAGCAGAAGATCCTTTTCCTGTTTTATAGCTTTTTCAACCCCATGCTGAACCCTCTGATCTATAGCCTGAGGAACTCAGAGGTGAAGCGTGGCCTGAGGGGGGCGCTGTGCAAAGCAAGTCATTCCCAGGAGCTGTGACCTTGGAACCGCCATTGTCAGGACTCTCCTGTGACCTTGGAACCGCCATTGTCAGGACTCTCCTGTGATACTGATGGGGCCCGAGTAAGGCAGAGGTTCACGTGAGCTCCCAGAGCTCCTCCGATGTGTGCCTGCGCTGCTCAAGAGCACAGCTTCCCTCTTCTTGTGCAAGAAAACTTTAAGGTGTGTTGATGTCTTCAGCTGAGGTTTTACCAGCTATAAACTTTTATTTCTCATTTTATTGCATATGTGTGAAATTAAAACTTAATTTACTTCATGTAACCCCAACGTTTAACATGTTCCATCAACTTCTTTAACCTAATAATATAAAGTCTCTAACTATATAGATCATAATATTTTGAACAGACAAATTTAAAGAACTGTTTTCGAAGGCAGTGATTCTGAAAACGCAATGGCATACCTGAAAATGCACCAAGTCAATTGTAAGAGGAACTGAGGAATTTATTTACTGATGAGGCATGGTAATTAAAATTTTATCTCTATTACTGGCTCATACTGATATGTAAATCACTTTTCTGAAGGAAAGCACAAAATCAAAAGAAGTTGTGCACATGAAACAGGAAGAAAAGAACCTACAAACAGAACAGGCTAAGAGAAGAGCGTTGGTGTATTGGTGCACCAACAGTCTAACAACTAGTAAAGACATCAAACTGATTGCTTGACTCCTCAGCAGGCTAAAAATTAATAACAGAGAATCTCTAAAGGCTGTTTCAATATTCTCCAGCAAACAGAATACTGAGCTCAGCAATGCACGCATATGCAATTTCTCCAGCGTAGATGGATCAGCACGTCTACTTTTGTTTATCCCTATTTCCACCTTTCCCAACTTGGAATGTCCTATTCCAAAGTATAAAATGTGCCTAGTTGTGTAAGTTCCTAGCTAGAAATCTAACCACGGTATTAGACTGAGTTTTACTAATTGAATCTACTTGGTCACCAGTGATTAAGGATGCGTCCCCATATATTCAATTGGCTTCTCACAATGTTAAATATAGAAATCCTTTTTTGAAAATCTGCTCCTCAACCAAGATAGTCTCTCAACCAGAATCTCTCAAATCTACATTGGTGGCAATTATAGGACTGGCCAGGAGAGTAAATGTGTGTTGTTCATTTGGACATTAACAGGTACTTGAATCAAGTCTTCCTTACTGACTGTCAGTGAAACAGATCAGCTATTCTGGGGCTGGGGAGATGGCTCAGTAGAATAAGCACTTGCCTGGTAAGTGCAAGGGCCTGAGTTTAATCCCCGGTTCCACCAAAAAAAAAAAAAA